GAAAGTTTATTATGTACCTTATCCTTTAATTACCTCATGCAAACGAGAATGGTATGTTGTAATTAAGTCCAACCCAGTGGGTAACAATGACACAAACGATGTAATAGAAGATGTTGCATACCAACATGATGAAATTTTACCTGTTTTTTGAAATAGGGTATTTAGTACCTACTATTCTCAAAGCACGGGCGAGCAATCATCGACTGGTTACACACATGCCTATTTTCCTACATGGTTCAAGCAAAAATTATCATGTATTGTTGCACCAAGTCCTGAATTAGTCCATTTGAGAAGTTTGTTTGAAGGCGCACCTTAACATGTTAATAAATGGCACACATACTTTGTAAACGGATTCAAATTTCACACTGAAATATGGACTGAAGGGAAGAAAACTCTAAACAATGGTGTAGTTGTAAAAGAGTTACTGAGGATGGTGAGGATGATTTCTATGGTGTTACCAAACATATTTACGAGTTAGTATATAATTATATGGACTTAGTAAATAAATTTGTCTTGTTTTATTGTGACTGGTATGGTCCATCTTCCAGAGGAACAAAAATTGATAAAAAAAATATAACATCGTTGAGGTTCGAAGAGATAGAAAGTAAAAAGAGTATGACCCTTTCATAATGACACATAATGTTAGGCAAATTTATTATGTATCTTATCCTTCAATACCCCATGCAAACAAGAATGGTGTGTTGTAATTAAGTCAAACCCAATGGGTCACATTGTCACTGACAATGTAATGGAAGACTTTGCATACCAATATGATGAGATTTAACCTGTTTTTGGAAATAGGGCATTTAGTACCTACTATTCTCAAAGCAGGGGCGAACAACCATCAACTTGTTACCCACACGCTTATTTTCCTGCATGGTTCAAGCAACAATTATCATGTATTGTTGCACTAAGTCCTGAAATAGTCCATTTTAGAAGTTTGTTTGAAGGCCATCCTCAACGTGTAAATAAATGGCTCACATACTTTTTAAAAGGATACAAATTTCACCCTGAAATGTAGACTGAAGGAAAGAAACTTGTAAACATTGGTGTAGCTGTAAAATGAGTTAGAGGATGGTGAGATCGAGTTCTATGGTGTTATCAAACATATTTACGAGGTGGTCTATAATTATATGGACTCGGAAAACAAAGTTGTCTTATTTTATTATGATTGGTATGATCCATCTTCCAGAGGAACAAAAATTGATTAAAAAACATAACATTGTTGAGTTTCAAAGAGATAGAAAGTAAAAAGAGTATGACCCTGTCATAATGACACATAATGTTAGGCAAGTTTATTATGTACCTTATGCTTTAATTACTTCATGCAAGCGAGAATGGTGTGTTGTAATTAACTCCAACCCAATGGGTCACTTTGACACTGACGATGTAATGGAATATAATGGATACCAAGATGATGAGATTACCTGTTTTTTGAAATAGAGCAATTAGTACCTATTATTCTCAAAGCACGGGCGAACAACCATCGACTTGTTACAGACATGCCTTTTTTCGGCATGGTTCAAGCAACAATTATCATGTATTGTTACACCAAGTTCTGAAAGAATCCATTTGAGAAGTTTGTCAGAAAGCCCTCCTCAATGTGTAAATAAATGGCACACATATTTTGTAAACATATACAAATTTCACACTGAAATAATGACTGGAGGGAAGAAAATTGTAAGCAGTGGTGTAGTTGTAAAAGGAGTTACAGAGGATGGTTAGGATTAGTTTTATGGTGTTATCAAACATATTTACGAGTTGGTCTATAATTATATGAAGTCGGAAAATAAATTTGTCTTGTTTTATTGTGACTGGTATGATCCATCTTCCAGAGAAACAAAAATTGATAAAAAATATAACATTGTTTAGGTTCGAAAAGATAGAAAGTACAAAGAGTATGGCCATTCAATAATGTTAGGGTAGTTTATTATGTACCTTATGCTTAAATTACCTCAGGGAAACGAGAATATTGTGTTGTAATGAAGTCAAACCCAATTGGTCACATTGACACTGACGATGTGATGGAAGATAATGGATACCATGATGATGAGATTACCTATTTTTTGAAATAGAGTAATTAGTACCTAATATTCTCAAAGCACAGGCGAACAACCATCGACTTGTTACACACATGCCTTTTTTTGGCATGGTTCAAGCAACAATTATCGTGTATTTGCACCAAGTCCTAAAATAATTCATTTGAAAAGTTTGTCTGAAGGCCCTCCTCAACGTGTAAATAAATGGGACACATATTTTGTAAACGGATACAAATTTCACACTGAAATAATGACTGAAGGGAAGAAAACTCTAAACAGTGGTGTAGTTGTAAAAGGAGTTACAGAGGATGGTGAGGGTGAGTTCTAAATATATTTACGAGTTGGTATATAATTATATGGACTCGGAAAATAAAGTTGTCTTGTTTTATTATGACTGGTATGATCCATCTTCTAGAGGAACAAAAATTGATAAAAAATATAACTCGTTGAGGTTCGAAAATATATAAAGTACAAAGAGTATGACCCTTTCATAATGTTAAGCAAATTTATTGTGTACCTTATCCTTCAATTACCTCACGCAAATGGGAATGGTGGGTTGTAATTAAGTCTAACGCAATGGGTCACATTGACACTGACTATGAAATGGAAGATGTTGATACCAAGATGATGAGATTTCACATGTTTTTTGAAATAGGGCATTTAATACATACTATTCTCAAAGCACGGGCGAACAACCATCGATCGGTTACCCACATGCTTATTTTCCTGCATGGTTCAAGCAACAATTATCATGTATTGTTGCACCAAGTCCTGAAATAGTCCATTTTAGAAGTTTGTCTGAAGGCCCTCCTCAACGTGTAAATAAATGGCACACATACTTTATAAACGAACACAAATTTCACACTGAAATATAGACTGAAGGGAAGAAAACTGTAAATAGTGGTGTAGTTGTAAAATGATTTACAGAGGATGGTGAGGACAAGTTATATGGTGTTATCAAACATATTTACGAGTTGGTCTATAATTATATGGGATCGGAAAATAAAGTTGTCTTGTTTTATTGTTATTGGTATGATCCACCTTCCAGTGGAAAAAATTGATAAAAAAATATAAGTCCTTGAGGCTCGAAGAGATTGAAAGTACAAAGAATATGACCCTTTCATAATGAAACATAATGTTAGGCAAGTTTATTATGTATCTTATCCTTCAATTACCCCACGCAAATGAGAATGGTGTATTGTAATTAAATCCAACCCAATGGGTCACATTGACACTGACGGTGTAATGAAAGATGTTGCATACCAAGATGATGAGATTTCACCTTTTTTTTTAAATAGGGCATTTAGTAGCTACTATTCTCAAAGCACAGGCGAACAACCATCTACTGGTTACACACATGGTTATTTTCCTGCATGGTTCAAACAACAATTATCATGTATTGTTGCACCAAGTCCCTAAATAATCCATTTGAGGAGTTTGTCTAAAGGCCCTCCTCAAAGTGTAAATGAATGACACACATATTTTGTAAACGAATAAAAATTTCACACTGAAAATAATGACTGAACGGAAGAAAACTGTAAGCGGTGGTGTAGTTGAAAAATGAGTTACAGAGGATGGTAAGGATGGGTTCCATGGTAATATTAAACATATTTACGAGTTGGTCTATAATTATATGAACTCGGAAAATAAAGTTGTCTTGTTTTACTTTGACTGGTATGGTCGATCTTCCAGAGGAAAAATTGATAAAAAATATAACACCATTGAGGTTCAAAAAGATAGAAAGTACAAAGAATATGACCCTTTCATAATGTTAGGCAAGTTTATTATGTATCTTATCCTTCAATTATCCCATGCAAACGAGAATGGTGTGTTGTAATTAAGTCCAACCAATGGATCACATTGACACTGACAATGTAATGGAAGATGTCGCATGCCAAGATGATGAGATTACATGTTTTTTGAAATAGGGCATTTAGTACCTACTATTCTCAAATCACGAGCGAACAACCATAGACTTTTTACACACATGCCTATTTTTCTGCATGGTTCAAGCAACAATTATCATGTATTGTTGCACGGAGTCCTGAAATAATCCATTTGAGAAGTTTTTCTAAAGGCCCTCCTCAACGTGTAAATAAATGACACATATACTTTGTAAATGGATATAAATTTCACGCTGAAATATGGACTGAAGGGAAGAAAACTGTAAGCAATGGTATAGTTGTAAAATGAGTTATAGAGGATGGTGAGGACGCGTTATATGGTGTTATTAAACATATTTACGAGTTGGTCTATCATTATATGGACTCGGAAAATAAAGTTGTCTTGTTTTAATGTGACTGGTATGATCCATCTTTCAGAAGAACGAAAATGGATAAAAATATATATAACATCGTTGAGAATCAAAGAGATATAAAATACAAAGAGTATGGACCTTTCATAATGACACATAATGTTAGACAAGTTTTTTATGTACCTTATCCTTCAATTACCCCACGCAAACGAGAATGGTGTGTTATAATTAAGTCCAATCCAATGGGTCACATTGACACTAACAATGTAATGGAAGATGTTGCATACCAAGATAATGAGATATCACTTGTTAATGAGGTAATTGAAATTGAGGAGCTTATAAGTTTTTGTAATACTGAAGTTAAGGGTCAAGAAGTTGATGCAACTATCTTGTTGTCAATAAATCATGTGGAAGAAGAGCATGAAGAGTCTGAAGACCATTATATCATATCCGATGAAGACAATGAAGATTAGGATGATGAATAATTTGAATATGTATGTAATATTACTTTTGTGTAATAAGCTATTGTAACAAATCTTGTGTAATGTTATCTTTTATATAATACTCTTAACATTTATTATTTAATGTTTTTCTTTTAAAATAGAAAAAATGCCACCCAAAAGAGAGGAAAAGGGTAAGAGTCATAAGACTCCTCTCGCACCAGGTTTATTGTAGAAGAGGTTCCTGATTCATATTTGTTTATTCCTATGCCACTTTCGATTCAAGTGGCTCATCCTCCTCCATTTTCTACTCCACCGCCTACGCATTCTACTGTGCCTCTTATGCATACTGCACCCATATCTGGATATTTCACTAGATTACTATCCACACCTCCATTTTCTTCATTCCCACCCATGTCCGAGCCATCATTTATTATTCCTCCTAGATATACACCCTATATGCAACTAGGTGAACCTAGTAACCCTCACCCAACACATTTTCCTATGCCTTCCATGCAGCTGAGTGAACCTAGCATGCGACATTCTATAAATGTGCCTTTGTAGTATATGGAGCCATGTAGATCTAGCATTTCCCCATTTGTTACCCATTCCTTCTAAAGATGATCATGGTGATACTAGTGCTCATGGAGATACTAGTGCTCATGGAAATAACAGTGCTCTTGAGGAGGAAAGGAAGAGGAGGCGCATCTTGAGAAATACACCGTTAAAAATTAGATATCATCAAGGAAGACTTATCATTTAGCCCGATGGAGGATCATAAGTGTTTATGTTTTATATTATGTTTTAAATTTGAGTCTTATTTAATAAATACTAAATCAAGATTTTGTTGTTTAGAATCTTTCTGTCACATCAGGCAACATCGACTATAACAGACATTATTAAAGAGAAGTATAAAATTTTTTGGCCTACTTATGGAGTAGTACTTGAAGATGATATGGAAGATTGGTTTAAGGCATTTTAGGTATAATTAACATACTCATTTAGATATTTTCTTTTATATTTATTGAGATATTCATGATTATACTTTATTTAATATTTTTTGAATTCATACAACAATGTAGGAGCAGTGTTGTTGGGATGTTAGAGATGAAGTCTAAATTAAAGAAAATTTTCACATAAAACGTGGTGCCCGATTTTCTGACACCATGAGGAATGTTAGACTTAGATGGGGAAAAAAGGAGCACATCCATTTTGGATAGGAGAAGAAATATTTCAAGAGTTTATAGTTCATTAGACTTCTGAAGCCTTTATAGAAACATCTGAAAAGGAAAAAAATAGAGCATCAGAAGTTGACGGCTGCAACTATGCAACAACAATATTAGTGTTGTTGAAGTTGCACGAAGGATGGTAAATTTATTTATTTATTAATTAATTTATCATTTAGATTTTACATTACTCATAACTAATTTTTTTTTAAATTTTTTTCTTCATTTAATTAGCGTGAAGAGTTGGGTAGAACTCCACTTCTTAATGAGAACCATATGGAGAATTATCTGAAGAGAAATGGAGAGTTTGTTGATGAGCGCTCAAGAACCACTCAAGTAAGTTTTTCTTATATTAAGTCATTTTATTTTATTTTTATGTATCTAACTTATTTAAATTATTATAACATTTAATTATTTTACTTTTTACAGTAGCAGTATGATAGACGACTTGCACTATGGTTGTCAGAGCATCCTGGATTATCTGGACCGTCATCGGGATATCCTACTGATCCTAGTGTGGGTTTTCGTACTTGGTATGATGTATCTGGCATAAAGAAGAAAAATGGGAGAGTGTATGGTGCTGGAGGGTACGCCAAAACTATCAAACAGCGTGATAGGTCTTTCAGAATGAGACTTGCTGATGGAGAAGGAACATCAACTCCACCAATATTAACTGCTGAAATATTTGAAACTATGAGAAACTTAGAAAATACTGAGGCAACACATAAAGTAACAGCAAGAAATGCAGAAATAGAAGAAATGAAGAGAAAACAAATAGAGATGCAAGAAGAAATGAGGAGAAGAGAAACAGAGTTGCAGAAAGAAATGAGGAGGCAAACACTTGAGTATCAAGAAGCTATGCGGATTACAAATGAGCGGGCACAAAGAATTGATCAATTTTTTGCTTCACAAAATTCTGGTGGTGGATATGGAGGAGTCAGTGGATATGAAGGAGTTGTTGAAGAGGAAGAGATAGAGAAAGAGGAAGAGGATGTTTGAGTTTGTATGGATTTATTTTAAATATGTTAAATATGTATGGATTTTAATTTGTATGGAATTTAATTTGTATGGAGTTTATTTTAACTATCTTGAATTTAATTTTAAATTTATTTCAATTTTAATTATGTTTGATTTAATTTTATAATTTATTTTAATTCTTTTTAATAAAATTTTAAATTTTAAATTTATTTATTATATTCCTCTATAAATATAATATTATTTATATTATATATTGTAAATAATTGTCAGGATAGTCTGTAAAAAAAAAATACAAACTTACAACTTGTCAGGGGGTTTAGCCCAAACAAAAAGACAACGCATGCATTTTGCGAGGGGGAAAATTTCAAGCAAAATGATTGACACATAACTGCGTCACACTGCTCTTCTGTATCGCACTGCACCACTACATTGGACTTATGCCTGCGTGTTAGCGGGGTTTCTGTATTCTGCAAGGGGGAAACCCCAAATAAATTAGCAAGGGGTATGTCACCACGCAAACAGTTTGCGATGACCTATTTTACTAGGACATCTTTTCCCTCGCAAAATGCTATTCAATGACGGATTTTTATACTTAATGAGGGGCTTAAGCCCTGACAAATAAAGTTTCTTCTTGTAGTACTTCTGGTACATTTTTTTCTAATATGAAATACATAAATATTGCAGTGGTGACAATTCTCAAAAATGTAACTATTATCTTAGCCACAATTATAGATATATATTTATTGTAAATGTCATGGTTTCAAAGTGTGGACTACAATGTTTGTGATGGTAGGTGACATTCTTGTATTATACTCATTGATTTTAAACTTGAATTCATTTCATTGTTGGTTAGGGCCATATGATGGAAGTGCAGTGTTTATGGAACCTTTATTTGGTCTGAAAAATATTGCTTTGTAAAGGTGGAAATGAAATTTGTTTGTTGTATCAGCATGTCAAAGAATAGCAAAAAAGAAAATGTTGTTATTAGTGTGATTTGTTCAAGTTTTATGCTTTTCCCTTAAAAAAACTTAAAAAATATAATTTAGGTAAAACAGCAAAAAATATTATCATGTGGCCCTTTAAGTTGTTTAATTGTATCAGAATAGTTCTTTTAATTTTATTTGTCCTAGTAGCCAGGTCCTTTAAGTTTCAAAATATGCACAATGTTGACCTTTGCTGAGACTTTGTTAACTAGTTTCCTGCGAATATTTCAAATATTTTATATCCAAAATCTTTAAAGATAGTTTTATAATTTTAAATTTTTGAATACAAGTATCCATGTTTCTTTTTTAAAAATTTATAGTTAGGAGTGTACATGTGTTTGGTAAACTCTATAAATTCGACCAAATTCATCCAAATCAAAAAAAAAAAAAAAGAGTTGGGTGAGAAATTTGGGTGAACATACTTTTCAAAAATGAAAATTTCATTAAAAAAATTGGGTTCCATGTGTAAACTCACACCCAATTTAGGAAATTCATGGATTATTAGAGGACTATATTTTGAGTCTTTTTTCGTAATTTGATTATTAATGACTTGATCCATTTAATCTTAGTTGTTTTAATTACAATTTTTTGAACATTTTTTTTTCATTCATGATTTATAATTTATTTACGATATTACGTTTTGATTATTTTGATGTTAATTCTTATAATAGAGTTTTAAGTATTTTATACAATTTTAGATATGATTGTAACGTAATTTTGATTTTTGCAAGTATATTTATGGTTTAAATACAATTTTGCCTCCTCAAATTTATCGATTGTTTGATTTTGATCTCTCATATTTCAATTGTTTGATTTTGGTCTCCTAAGTTTTCTAATTGTTTGATTTTGATCTCTCAAATTTCAATTGATTGATTTTGATCCATCAAATTTGTCACTTTTGTATTAGATAGTCTCCTATTGACATATAAACTAAACCTCTCTTTTTTATTTTTTACTATTTCTTTTTTAAATTTTCTTCACTATAATTATATTTTTATTATCTTTTTAATAGTTAAGCTTTAAATGTAATATGTTAAAATTTTAAATATTTCATTAACATATACCTAATGGTAAATTATTTTGACAACAAAAAATATATACTACTAGCTAATTAAAATAAACTCTTTGTCCAATAACTCCCTTATATTTAAACATAAATTTCTAAAGTCTAACAATCCTATTAGTCATATAGAATTTCAATCTTTTTAAAGGGATATTGTAGGCTTGTCCCTATATTCTAAAATAAATTTGTTACAAGATTCATACATGTTATTATCTAAAGAATCTGTTATTTTAATTAACTAATGGTCTATCGTTTTTGTTATCAAAATAATTTATCATTTAATATATGTTGAATGAAATAATTAACATTTTTAATACATTAAATTCAAATCTTAACTATTAAAAAGAGAAGAAAAATAAAATTGTAGTGAAGAAAATTATAAAAAATAAACTAAAAGAAAAGAGAAAAAGTAACTTAAAAAAAATTTAGTCAACATATCACTAAGAGACTATCAAATGTAAAAGAGGACAAATTTGAGGAGTCCAAATCAAACGATTGACAAATTTCAAAGGTCAAACTTAAACAATTGAAAAACTTGAAAAACAAAATCAAACAATTAAAACTTGAGGTCAAAATTAAACAATTAAAAAATTTGAGGAGTCAAAACTACTTTTAAACCTATATTTATTATGAAAATTACTGTTTGTTTAGATATTTAATGCTTACAAAAATAGCGCTAATAACTTAAATTATTTATTAAGAAAAAAAAAAGATTGGAGTATTTTTTTAAAAGAATATAACACATTATTTATAATTGGCATATTCTCAAATCCTTTAACTTAATTCAATATTTTGATTTATTCTCTTAACTAGAAAACGTTACAAGTTAGTCTCTTAATTTCACTTTAATTATCTTATTTGATCCTTTCCATTGATTTCTGACAAACAAACGTTAAGTTCTGGTAACGTGGATGTATAACAAGACTCAAAATCTAAATACGGCTAAGTATTTATACTATAAAGTAGAGTTTCCAATTATGTAGATGTCATAAAGATTATCACAATAAAACTACATTAAGTGAAAATCATTTATTATAGTACAAAATATTTAGTCACATTTGTATCTTAAGTCTTATTGTACATCCATGACACCGGAACTTAATGATTTTTTACTAGAAATTGACGGAAGAGACTAAATAGAGTCACATAAGTGAAGTTAAGAGAGTAATTTGTGACGTTTTTTTAATCAAGAAATTATAACAGAACATTAAATTAAATCAAGGGACTAAAACATGTATTAAGGCTTTATAATTATATAAGAAAGAAAAAATGAATAAAAATGAAATAATTAACTATCCAATTCAATCCAATACATAAATTTGTAATTTTATTCGAACCGACTCAATGATATCGTGGTTATTTTACTTCACTAGAACTATTGTACCCTGTTTGACTTGGCTCTTACTTTTAATTAAATTCAACACAAACCTACTCATATTCACTCATATTTATTGTCAAAAAACTATCCTCCTTTTTTAATTTTTGATGAATTTTCAGATTCCTACTGATTTCAAGTTCCTTTAAATTTTATAGTTGTTTAAGAATTTTTCTATGGATTTTCTTAAGAATTTTTCTACAAATATTTCTACGAATTTTCAATAATTTTTTTACAAATATGCTTTCAATAACTATAAAGTTATTTTGCATTTTTGAATAAAAGAGTTCATATATACTTTAGAAAAATCTGTGATAAGAAAACATCATATGTTTTATCCTCTAAGTTATATGTTATGCGGATTTTCCTATCAATTTACTTTCAGAATCAGTAATAATGTTATATTTTCTGATGCAGATTTGAAGCTTCCGCATTTCAAATATAGATGAACTTAGCATGCTTTTCTTGGTGATTTTATTATGATTGATTCATGCTTATACATTTTAATGATGTTCAAATAATGTAGACAAAACATGGACGATGATTTGATGCATGATAGAGAAAGACAATTTCATCGTTAAACTCTAAAGCTCAAAGTTTTTCATCCACCAACTCATAATTACTATCCCTTTTCATGCATGTCCATAAGTTAAAAGACAAAAGATAACAGTTTTGAAATGACAGAAACCAGAAAGTTATATGTATTTGTAAATAGCATTTTCTCCAAGTTGAGCATTTCCAAATCAACTTATGGACATGAACTTTTCCTAGCATGAGATGGTTTTAATTTATAGCAACTTTTCCTAGCATGACAAATTTACAACAATCAAAACAGGAACTACAAGGGTTAGTCTAACACTTCTAAGATCATACTAATTTAAGTGGCCAACAGCTAAACCTGAATTATGGTGTGATTATAATATCTTTATTTATATAGCAAGTGGATATTAAATTAGGCTAGTTAAAGTACCATTAACAATATCAAGACAAATAGCCGCAATGAGTCATGAACTCTATGCTAAGAAATTAGATTAGGCAAAACATGCATTGTAACTCCAAACTTGTAAACTGATTATACTATAATAACTCTTTTCAATCCCCAACCAATGATGATATTTGGTTATGCAATAAGTGAAATTCTAATGTCCCTTTCAAAAAAAAAAAAGGGACATTCCATTAACTTGTTGATGAATAGTGAAATTCTAATGTCCCTTTCAAAAAAAGAGGACATCCCATTACCTAGTTGATCAATAGAAAAGAGCTTCAATTTAATGAAGTCATGATGCAAGAATTTTTTTTTCGGTGAATGGATAGAAGATGATGAATCCTGTGCAACACCTTAATGAATACTTATGACAATCTATTGGCTTTGTCTAGGGTCAGTGTAGGTAAGTCGGAGAGGGTAGTGTTAGGGTTGTCTAGGATTCAAAAGAGTTGTGTAACTTCAAAAATTGCGGTGTTCTCTTAGTAGTTGATTCAAAATAGGTTGTCGACTATGAATAATCTTCTAAGGCGTCAAATTGTGTTGGAGTATAGTAATAAGGAGTATGTTGTATGCACTTGACAGGCAGAGTCGACAGATGATCATTTTGTTTTGTGTGAGGTTCTTTCTGCCATCTGATATAAAGTTTTTAACTTGGTAAGGCGGTCATAGCCTCTGCCACATTCGATTCTAGGGGTTAATTTAGGATTTTCGTCAATGGGAAACAAATGTCTTTAGGATTGATCTCGATTGAGCATTTTCTGATATGAACTATTACGAAAATGCAAAATAAAATTATTTTTCGTCGGAAAAGCTTATTCGTTAATCACTGGATGTCTACAATTATTAGTTTAACCTGGAAGTGGTTTCATGCTCTTGCTCTGAATTTTGACTTTCTTTGGTTGACTAGGAGCGTGGCCCGCTTAAATGGATGGACAATTAGGGATGTGTTAGGCGGCCAAATGCACTCCTTCCTGCTTGTTCTCTCTAAGTTTGTTTGTTTGAGAATTCAAGATGGTTTTTTAGGTTGTTGAGTTGGCTTTTGTTCCTCTTAGGTGGTGATTTTTGTGGTTTTTCTTCTCTGTTTGTTTTTCGTTCTGATCTATAGTCAGGATTGGTTAGGAGTTTTATTGCGCATTTCTGATACTCTTAGTTACTTTTATTGTCAGTTACTTTTGTATATTCTATAACTTTTATTTTCACTTAATATATGGTTAATCATTTTCTATTAAAAAAATAAACATACAACACAAATAGTGTTTTAGTGTTGAAATTAACTCAAAAGAGTGCTACATATCAACCCAAAAAAGGTAACTAGCCAACTAACAAACATAGAAACACCAATGGCATAATCCAACAAATCTGTGTACAAGTGCGAAACTAAATTACTAAAAAGAATGGTAAACAAATGATTACGAGCATCAAAATTAGAGACGAGTCTAGAAAAACCAAATCTTCAAAACCAAAGAATGAATCTAATCACCAACACATAAGCAGATCTAACAACTCTTACACGATCAACAACAAACAATGCGATGAGAGTCATACCCTCGTCAAAATACAATGCAAGAATTAAGTATACGTTAAAATGTGTACTATTGATTTTTTTTTTGTGAAACTACTTTGAATAGTTTTTATAATGCATTTTTGTAACTGATAGTTAAAAATAATCAGTATATTTAAATTTATTAAAAACAATATTTGTATTTAACATATTCAATTTACACATGATAGTCACATGAGGGAAAAACCTTTACAAATTAAAGACCTTTTTGAGGCACAAAAGAGGAAAACTTTCCCTAATTGACAATGACAATGTAGGCCACAAAAGAGACCAAAGAAAAGAACTTTATTGCAAAATAAACTAATAATGTGCTTTGGAAACAACAAAAAGAATTGACCCCTCAGGTGAGGGCTATAAAATGATAGATTCTCAAACTCACCTTAGGCATAAAATATAATACTAATATTAGAAAACATTGGAAAAACTTAGGAAAATGACAGGGTTTGGCTCATCATGTGGAGCATGCAAGTTCCTAAGGAGAAAGTGTGCTAGTGATTGTGTTTTTGCTCCTTACTTCTCTTATGAACAAGCTTCAACCCATTTTTCAGCTGTGCATAAGGTTTATGGTGCTAGTAATGTTTCTAAACTATTGTCACATCTTCCTATGCAGAATAGGAGTGATGCTGCCATCACTATATCTTATGAAGCCTTGGCTCGCATGCAAGATCCTATTTATGGTTGTGTTGCTCATATCTATGCATTGCAACATCAGGTTAGTTTCTATGTTCTGATCATGATTTTAAATTGTCATTTATATTTTGAACTTTTATATTGCACGAAAATACAACAGAGTGCACTTGCGAACAAATATTTAAAACCAATTGCATGACGGATAATTGATATTCTAAAAAATTATAGTCAGATGTAGCTGATGCAACTTCAATATAATCATTATAATAGACATGAAAAAATTTTATGTCTTGGCTAAAATTATGTTGCGGAAATTTTAAATGTGACTTATTAATGAAGACTTGAGACTTAAGAGTGTCCTTGTAAGATTTTCACGTTCGAATTCTGCTAAGTATAAATAATTTCTATGTTTAGCTAATCAATATAGAGAGCAATTCTATGATTTCAATTGAGACCGCGCAAGTAGACGCTAAGATTGATCCTCCATATTAGTTGATTTTAGCACCAGATACCATGTTTTAAAAAAAAACTATACTATAATTTTTTTTTCATACAAACATTTAAACTTGACATGTATACTTGTGTAGGTAGCAAGTTTACAAGAGGAGATAGATATTCTTGGAAGTCTAATGGAAAATTCTAATGTTAGTATTGTGGATTGTGACAATGTCCAAGCACCAATGAATTCAAACAATGGAACACAATATTACCCTAATCAATTGGCTAATTATCTTTCACAAGAAGGTTCCACAACATGTCAAAGTTTTGAATCATACATGAATATGGATATGGAAATTCCTAGTGCACATGGAATGGCTGAGCCTTTATATGGTGATTCCAACTCCAATGCATTAGAGAAATTTCTATCAGGAATTGATCAAGAGGGTTTCCTGAACCACCCTTGGTTTAAGCATAATTCAAACATGTAATATGTAGAACTAGCAGGACTATTAATTATTTAAGTAGTTAGTAGACTATAGTGCTTAAGTATTTTACTTAAGTGCTTATCCTTACTTTGCACAATGATTGCATGCAATGAAACTTTTGTGATGTGTGTTTTAAATTACAATAATAAATCATGTAACATGTGTTAGATTAATGGCACTACCACAATATTTTTTATTGCAAAAAATACTTTAAAAAAAATCCAGTTACATGAATCAAACACATTCTTATACTATATAATATTTTAAATATAAAATATTTACATCAATATTTAGGGATGACAATGAATAAAATTTAGAAATGTACCACAATATTCGTCTTTATATTTGTAGTTTGAAAATATTATTGTATTTGACTCTATAATTGTGTGACCATTAACGTTTATATTCGTATATATATCTTATAGATATTTACGTATTCATATCCGTATTTATTATTTAAAATTCTAATAAAAATAAAATAGATCAATTAAAAAATATCATATTATTTTAAAATTTTAACGACATTAACAGAAAATTTAAAAGATTTTATTGTTGAATTATAAAATAATCGAACACATAATTCAAAAGTGATTAACATATAATTTTATATAATGATATAAATTAAAATATATAAATATACATTAAACGGATATGTGGTGGGATGAGTAATAAGATACTTATTCTGTTTGAGATTTCGGGGAATAAATATTAGAGTGCCATGTATTGGATTCAATGCCTACATTGGTTTTTTTTTGTTTATAATTCAATTATTTTAATTTCACAACAAAGTTGGTCTATAAAGGTTTCAAGTTTGATCTCATTTTAAAATCACAAATTAACTTATATAGTATTTTAAATTTTTTATAAATTACTTAAAATTATTTATAAATTTGTGATTCTATAATAAATAAAGTGTAGTTTATTTTAATTTTTTAATATTATTTTAAATATTTTATTATCTTGTTATTATTTTTTTAGATTTTAAAATATCACTTAAATTTAATTTAATTTAAAATAAATTTTTAAAAAAGATTATTTTTTAGATATATCATTTTAAAATAATTATGTGATTTCGATTATATTAAAATTATTAATGATAAAATATTTAAATAATTATATGTTAAAAAATTTATTTTAATTTGTAAAAAATAATTGAAAATAACTTCTAATATTTTTTAAAAAATTATCATAAAATCATAAAATATTTTAAGATATTTCATATGATTCAATTATTTTAATTCAACAACAAAGTTGGTCGTATAAAGTCTTCAAGTTTAATCTCATTTTAAAATCACAAATTAAGCGACATAGCAATTTAGGATTTTTATAAATTACTTAAAATTATATTTTAATTTTTTTATTCTATAATAAATAAAGTGCAATTTATTTTAGTTTTTTAATTTTTAAAAATATTTTATTATTCTATTATAATATTTTAGATTTTAAAATACCACTTAAATTTAATATTATTTTAAATAGTTTTTTTGCTCAATAACTTTGATTAAGCCAAAAACAGATATTACAAGGCGAACACAAGGATCAACTCAACACAACAAACCAAATGATCACTAAAACTCTATTACATCATAAGCTTATCAACGTGCTTTCTCATTTTGAGATGATTCCATCCTCTATACACTATGGTATATATTATCTTGTCTTCTATGTTCGTACTATTTACTTTACCTCCAAAGTTAACTTCATTTCTATATCTTCACATTTCATAAACTGTCTAGTTAGAATAAGATTTGTTTCTGCAATTCTATCTCTGAGTTTTGATGATAACAAAGAGTATGTTTGTATGAATAATTTTGGTACTCTAATGTTTGTTATTTTCTAGTATTTAACAAACAGATTATGCTTCTGATGGAAGGCGCTGCCAAGACAATTGGAGAGAATAAGTTCCGCTTCTAGCTACACAAGTATCGATGAACAGTAGAAAAAGCTTCAGAAGACTCTGAAGTTGTGACTCTGATACAAGTCCAAGAAACCAAGTTCTGAAGATCTGAAGACAAAAGTTCTAAATAAAGTCCAGATGCTGAAGACTTATGTTTCTGAAGACCAGGGGTTCTTAAGACCAAGTGTTGAAGATTCTGATAGACGAAGTTCTGAAGATTCTAAAGACTTGAAGTTTTGGTGACCCAAGGTTCCACAAAGGATTCTAAAGACCAAGTGTTGAAGATTCTGAAGACGCAGTTTTGAAGACTCTGAAGACTTGAAGTTCTGAAGACCTAAGTGTTATTATCATTCTTCCAATGCATGCTCAGAAGCCTCTGACGTCAGAAGAAAAAGAGGATAAGATTGTGTGGTACAATAGTACATGGTACACACAAATTATTCTATTACACTACCATGAAGGTCGGACGTTGTGTACGACCTTGTCTCCTACATGATTATTCAAGCTGCCAACTTTATGGAAGTTCCAGAAATACCCTTCAATTGTTATAATATTTTATTGGCTATAAAAGGGCTTGAAGACTATGAGAGAAGGCTGCTAATTCACATTCTCCAAAGACTGTTCATACACTTTCGTTTCTCTAGTCTATACTGTTGAAAATCTGTTTACATATTCGCTTGTGTAGAAGCATATCTTTTGTAAACAAACTTTATTCAAATAGTTGTTTGATTTTTCCTTAAGGGACCAGTTGGTCAAAATCCTTGAGAAGTCTAAGATTAGTGTGTCTTAGAGGTTGTAACGTTAGTCACTTGTATTTAGCTTGTGAATTGTAATAATCTATTTGATTATTGGATTAAGTCCTTGTTGAGAAAGGTGAAATCACATTGGCGGATGGACTAGACTAGCTTGATAGTTTTTAAGTGAACTAGTATAAACATAACTTGTTCTTTCCTTCTTCTTGCATCTTATCACTATTATCACTAAGTGAAGTAACTTGTTACAACTTAAAGGAGATTTTAAAAGGAACAGTTTTTTATTTAAAACCCAATTCAACCCCCCCCCCCTTTCTTATGTTTTCACACCTTAAATTGGCATCAGAGCTCCGGCTCTGAGGAGTTGATAAAATTTTTGAATTTTTATCAAGCACCTAACAGTGTTCAGTACCGATCCAGATTGTATGTAAAACAATGGCAGAAAAAAGGTAACAATACTACTGTAAGTGGTGATAATGAGGATAACGATAGAGATCAATATAGTGATAAATCTTCTATGTTTGATGGAGAAAAGTTTGACTATTGGAAGGACAAAATTGAAAGTTATTTTCTGGGATGTGACTTGGATCTATGGGATTTGGTATTCGATGGCTACACTCACCCAGAGATGATAAAGGTATAAATATTGCCAAAAGTGCTATGACAGACGCTCATAAGAAGGTTCACAGAAATCATTACAAAGCAAGAACAATTCTTCTAAGTGCTATTTCTTATAATGAGTATGAGAAGATCACAAATAGAGTGACTGCAAAGTCTATTTTTTATTCTCTTCAGATGACTCATGAAGACAACGCTCAAGTTAAGGAGACAAAGGCTCTAGCCCTAATCCAGAAATATGAAGCCTTCAGAGTGGAAGATGATGAATCTGTGGAAACTATGTTCTCAAGATTTCATAATCTTGTTGCAGGACTCAAGGTTTTGAATAAAGGTTACTCTACTGCATATCATGTTAAGAAAATTATTAGAAGTCTACCTAAGAAATGGAGACCAATGGTAACTGCTTTGAAGCTGTCAAAGGATCTGAACAACACCAGTCTTGAGGAACTAATCAGTTCTTTAAGAAGTCATGAGATATAGCTTAAGGAAGATGAACCTCATAAGAAAGTTAAATTTGTGGCTTTGAAGTATGAGTCTGGAAAGACCAAAGATTTTTAAGCAAGAGAAGAATATGAAGCATTTGAAGAAGATTCAGATTCAGATGAACTTTCTCTGATATCTAGAAGGATAAGTCAGATTTGGAAACACAGACATAGCAAGTTCAGAGGATCAAGAAGAACAAACGGTATATTTGAATCTACATCGGTCAGAAGAAAGCTTCTGGAAAGGAAGTTACCTATTATGAATGCAAGGATCCTAGACATTATAAGAATGAATGCCCAAAGCTCAAGAAAGACAGGAAACCTAAGAAGGCCTACAAAGCCAAGAAGGGTCTCATGGAAAATGGGATAATTTAGAGTCAGAAGAAGAAGATTTTTATGAAGAACATGCCAACGTAGCATTCATGGCAAAGACCAGCACGAGCGAAGCAGTATTAGAGGACGAACTGACACATGATGATGAGTCAGACTCTGGTGACGACAAAGAGGTGCTTTCTTCTTTATCTCGTTGTGAACTTGAACTTGATTTATCAGAATTAATGGAAAGGTATCAACTTCTTCTAAGTAAACACAAAACTCTGAAAAAGACTTTTGTGGCAACTTCTGAGAACTCTACTAAGAATGAGCAAAACTTTTCTCATTTAAATAAAAATTTATTTGTTTCAGAAAAATAAAATCTTGCTCTAAAAAGTAAAGTTTCAAGGTTAGAAGAAGAGATTATCTCTAGCACATCTGTTTCTAATGAATTGATCAAATATGATAAAGCTTTTCAGCACTTCGTAGCTAAAAGAATAAATAAAAGCAAGATGGATTCAATCATCTATAGAGTTAGCACAAACGGAAGTAGAGGCTTGGGATATTCAGGACCATCAAAGATTATTGATGAGACTCTGAGTGTCAAACCAAAACCTCTTTCTGAACATTTCATGCTTGGTGGCACAAAATTGAAATGTCCAGAGAAAGAAGGTTCTGATTTAATTGAAACACAACCATATACACAAAAGGAAACTTATAAACCTAAATATCATGCACAAATTCCACTTGATTATCCTGTTGCACAAGAATCCAAAGGGGTCAGAACCTCTGGAACTGCTAACAAGAAAGGACCCAGAAAATGGGTATTTAAGGATCAGATAATCTTGTAGATGTCCTTGATGGCACCACTGAAACATCAGTCATGGTACCTGGATAGTGGATGCTCGCGACAGATGACGGGCGGAAGGCATATGTTCCAAG